CCCCCTTTAAATAATTTTACTCCAAATAAAGTCAACCAATAAAAGTTGGGCCCAACCCACCCAATATGCAATCTTCATTCTTTAAAGTCAATTAGAAAGTTAATAAAATAAAATAAAAAATAAACATAATTGGGAGATTTTCACATCCTAATTCCCAGGCCGTAAACCATAATCCCACTTTATCAAATAAAAAAAAAAATATCTCTGTTGTGAATCTTTCATCACGGGACAATGGAGAACGGACCACGGCTTTTTCTTTTCTATTCCACCATACACAATCGAAGGAACAATCACAGATCACAAGCACCTCTTTGTCTCTTTCACTCTCTTTATTAGGTAAATAAATTTTAATATAGTTCTATTTTCTCATTTTTTTTTTTGTGAGGGCTTTTTTAGGGTTCCGAAAATTATTGTGTTTTGTATGTGTTTTTGTTGTTTGATGTTGCTTATGAAACTAATACATATTGTTTATTGGTTTCAATTTTAATTTTTATTTGTTTTCTATATGACAATTCAAGTGAAAATCGAATTTGGGCTTGCTTAATTCAAATTATGATACACATAATTTTCTATTTGTATTTTTAAATCAAATTTGTTGCATAATTTTGTTGTCTGATTCCCAACCAATTGTATTTTCCAAAATCTCATAATTTTGTGCGTGTTTAAATTGATTTGTCTGCTTGTGATTTAATTTTAATTTTCTTTTGATTAAGGTGACAAAAAACTAAAGAATCATGGAGAAATTCCTAAAGAGGAAGTCTATAATGGCAGAAACTTCAAGTCTCCCAAGTCAAAAAAGGATAATTTGTGTCGAAAATCTCCCGGTTGATCCGGGGCTACGACAATCAATATGGAGCTATGATGCTAATGACAAGGACATAGTACGCCGGACATATTTATTAAAGGGTCCTTGTCAACCTATTCTTCATTAATTTCCCCAAACTGAAATGGGAAATGTGAAATGGAGGGTTGTCGCAAATTGGATTCAAAAGTATCCTGACTGGCTAGAGTATAGCATATCCAAAGATAGTTCATATTACTTGTATTGTTATTTTTTTAGATCGCCGAGTAATCAAAGTGGTGGGGCGGGGGGATGCATTTGTTGGTGAAGGTTTTAAAAATTGGAGAAAAAAGGAGAAATTTGATCAACATATTGGCAAGCATAACAGTTTTCATAACATAGCCAAATCGAAATGCAAAGATCTAACAAATCAAAATCTTACGGGAAATGTTTCAGCTTTATTTACCGGATAGCAAAAAAAGGATAAGGTTTAATATCGAACTGGGTTGAATGCAGATATTGATTGTGTTCGTTTCTTGTTAAGGCAGGACTTAGCATTTTTAGGTCATGATGAATCTAACACATCGGCTAATAGAGGAAATTATTTGGAACTTTTTCATTGGCTTGCTGAACATAGTGAACTTGTTGAAAAAGTTACATTTCAGAATACTCCTCAAAATTGTCAGTTTACATTATCCATTATCCAAAAAGATATTTGTGTTGCTATTGCTAATGAAGTTACTTGTGCAGTTGTTAAGGATATTGGTGAGGCGTGTTTTACAATATTGGTTGATGAGTCTCGTGATGTGTCGATGAAAGAAGAGATGACAGTTGTTCTAAGATACGTTAACAAAGAGGGGAAGATACTAGAACGTTTCCTCGGTATTGAACATGTTTCGAGTACAACTGCAACTTCACTTAAGGGTATCATTGATCGTCTATTCTCTCGTCATGGTTTAAGCATATCAATATTGCGTGGTCAAGGCTACGATGGGGAAAGCAACATGCAAGGTGAGCTTAAAGGCTCGAAAACCCTTATTTTACAAGAAAATCCATGTGCATTTTATGTCCATTGTTTTGCTCATCAACTTCAACTGAGTTTAGTAGTTGTTGCAAAATATTATTTTCAAGTTCAATATCTTTTTGAGATCACGTCGAAAGTTATGAATGTTGTTGGAGCATCTTGTAAGAGGCAGGATATTCTTAAAGCCAAACAACATGAAAGTTTGTAGAAGCCCTAAAAAAAAGGAGAAAATCTTAGTGGACGTGGATTGAATCAAGAAACTAATTTGCAACGGGCTGGTGATACCCATTGGGTTCACATTACGGTACTCTTGTTAAGCTTACTACCATGTTTGAATCCGTAATTGAAGTACTTGAACTTATTATGGAGGATGGAGTAAGCACTGATCAAAAATTTGAAGCATGAATGTTGTTAGATGCACTACAATCATTTGAGTTTATATTCACTATGCATATGATGAAAAATGTATTGGGAATTACTCAAGACTTGTCATTGGCTTTGCAACGGAAAGACCAGGATATTGAGAATGCTATGAGATTGGTTTCTATAGGGGTGTGCATAATTCGACTAAAACCGAAAAAACCGACCGAAACCGACCGAACCGAAAAATTCGGTTCGGTTTTTATTCGACTCGGTCGGTTTTCGGTTTCAGTCAAATAATTTTCGGTTATTTCGGTCGGTTTCGGTTTTGGACATCAAAATATCCGAATTAACCGAACCGACTGAAATAATATATAATATATATATAATATATATATTGTATTGTACTATACTATATATCATAATAATAATATATTATATATTATTATATAATATTTGCTAACCCTAAATTGAACTAAAATCAGATCCTAAATCTGTGAATGTGAAATTATGAATCGCTGCTCCTTTCTTTCCTTTGTCCAAAACTCCGCCGACATCCCCAATTCATCTTCTCCTCCTCCACGCGAAATCGCCCCCATCCAAATCTCTCGCTCCGCAATCCGCATATCCACTTCAAACCACCTCCGCTGCCAATCGCTTTTCCTTCGCCAAATCCGCGTCTGTACGTGGTTCGGTCCGATCAAGGACTGACGCCCGTCGTCGACACATCAGTCGAGGGCGTTGAGCTTGGAGGTGCCGCCTTTCCGTGCACTCTGTTCACCGTCAAGGCCCAAGGAAGAAAACCTTCCTAACTTTTCGTCTTCGTCCCAAAAATATATATATTTTTTTGTAAAAATTCGGTTAACCGACCGAACCGACCGAATAGTTCGGTTCGGTTCCATTTCGGTTTTAAGAGAATATTTCTGTCGGTTCGGTGTTTGACATATAGTCGTTCGGTTAATTCGGTTTTTGTAGTTCGGTTCGGTCGGTCGACCGAACCGACCGATGAACAACCCTAGGTTTCTATATCAAAAGAAAGATTGCAGTCAATGAGAGACGATGGATGGGATATTCTTTTGAATGAAGTTTCTTCATTTTGTTCTATGCATGAAGTCATGGTACTAAATATGGATGAAACATTCACAGCTCCAGGCCGCCCTGGACGAAGAACTCAGGAAAAGACAAACTTGGTTCATTTTCGTTGTGGGTTATTTTATGTCGTTCTAGATAAACAACTCGTGGAGCTTAAAAATCGTTTTTCTGAGTCGAATACCGAGTTAATTCTTTGTGTGGAATGTCTTAATCCTAGGGATTCTTTCCATGCGTTCAATAAGGAAAGCTTGATAAGGTTTGCTCGGCTATACCCTAAGGATTTTTCTGCTTATGATGTTGTGGTGCTTGATAATCAACTTGAGAATTATATTATCGATGTGTGTACGAGCAATGAATTTTCAGCGGTTGATGGTATAGCATACCTTGCTATTAAAATGGTGGAAACTATAAGGCATGTGGCATATCCTTTGGTATGTATGCTTATTACTTTAGCATTGACTTTGTCGGTTGCTACTGCGAATGTGGAGAGGGCATTTTCTGCAATGAAGATCATAAAAAAATCGACTACGCAACCGAATGGAAGATGATTGGCTCAATGCTTGTTTGGTTCCGTATATTGAGAGAGATATATTAGATAAAATCACAAATGAAACTATTATGCAACATTTTTAGACTATGTCTTCTCGTCGTGAACAATTGTAATAAAAAGGTACTTTTTTTTATTCATTTTATTTTCATTTTAAAATTATGTTATTATCTTTTGCTCCTTCTCAATATATTTGCTAGTTCGCCACTGTGTGTTGTGGTTCATTTTGTTTGTGTTTTCTCTTCTTCTCTCCCGTTGGGTGTACGTTTGGTGTATTCTCTGCTAGGAACTTTTGGTTGCTTATCCTGTTGGAAGTTTTTCAGTTGTGTTGTTTTGTAGATTGACTCTAGGTTGTCGTCAGTGTGTACGTGTAGTCTTCTCTACAAGAGTCAGCTGTTCAGCTTATTCGGCCGTTGGCTGTATATTCGACTGAATAATTGTTCTATAGTCTCGATTTGTTGTAAATATAAGTACTTCTTTGTTCCGTTAAAAAACAAAAAAAAAAAAAATGCTACTACAATGAGCACAAAACAAGATTAGTCGTTCTTACATGTTTTAAGTGCTACTATAAGGAAGAGACCCGTTGTAACTTGGGAGACGTTTATCAATATCCGCTAGTACAGTATCTGAGGCAATTCGTATTAAAGATATAGAGTTGAACTCTTTGCTTTTATATAATTTATATTGCATTTGACCATTTCGTTTATGAAATTCGAGTAAGTTTTTGTGTATCTAGTATTATAATATAATATTGCACGTTAAAATCTCCAACATGTTCAACATTGATCCATATTAACAACACAATCGGGTAAAAAACAAGAGCATCTACAATTTTTTGAGTTAGTTAAAGAAAAACTAAAATTACATGTCATGTACGAAATAGACCCTTGTGTAAAGTGCAAGTGAAAATGAACTGAGTCCAACTAATGCGACACTAAACAAAGAGACCTGATACTGGTAGGGTGACAATTTTGGTTTCCAGGAATGAAGTTTATTCACCAAGCATGGAAAAGCTTTACAAGTTGAAATAACTTACAGAAATTTACAGTTCACACAGTAATTTAAATTAACCAGCGAAGAACCCTTTCTTCGGAGTTTGCAACTAACAAACAGCACACAGAAGAAGGCCAAGAGATTATAAATTAAGCTCTTTCGATCACAAAGCAAAGTTAAAACAGAAACTTACAAACAACTCATCAAGAGTGAACAGCAATGTCCATGCATCTCTCTCCAATCAGCTTCTTAGAGTTGAAAGCCTCATCAATATCTGCCCCTTGACCCTGTTTCCTAGTTTTGCATGAAGCTGTACCATTATTTATATTGGTCTCCTTTTTGCTATTATACGACGAAGCCATTGGATAACTGTGCGGAGCTTCGTGGTGTCCCCTGCCGAAGTTTTTTGCATCACTAAAGCTCTTTCTTCGGCCCAACTTTGGCGATTTTGCACGAGTCGGGGGTGCCTGATGTTATTTTATAGGTAAGCGAATAGATAAGTTCTTCGTAGGCAATGATAACAGGAAAAGTTACTATAAGATCTAGCTAAATTGTGAAAAGCTTCGGGTTATATAGTCCGTACATCCCTTTGTTATACAATTTACAAACTCACCACTGATTTATATACACCAGAAAATTACCCCCCTCCTGAAATGCAATTTGTAAAAGAAACAAATTCATGTCAAGTGAGTTATTATAGTTCTTAGAGAACATTTTTTGTTTAACAAACCTAAACTTCAGGATAACTTCGCGATTTCTTCTATTGTTTCAACATTACTTTCAAGTAATGCAGGCAATAATTGATCGTGAAATAAGCTCTCTCTCTCTCTCTCTCTCTCTTAGCATGTATATACATATATATATCCTTTTCTTTTTAGACAACCAGATAATTCTTGGGCAATACCTTTTTAAGTTCAATCTTTGCTGGTGGGCCATCATGATAGAAGCTTGGCATTGGGCTTGCCTTGAACATCAAACTCTTCCTTAGCTGCTTGATAGCAGCTTCTGCTTCTTCCTACAAAATTTGTGTAATCCAGATTAATAAACACAAGTATTATGCATCTCAGACAAGAGCCTAAGTAGCTTAAAACAAACTTATAGCTGCTGAAAAAAATTACACGAGTGTAAATTACCTTAGTCCTTGCTTCGTACTGAGTTTTCTCGGCCTCCAGTGCTTGTTGTTTCTCCTCTAACTTCAATAAAAACTAAACAACAACATAAGAAACATCATAAAAAAGAAAATAAATTGAAAATATAGAATCCTAATTCACATCAATTGAGTATATGCAAGAAAACTAATTGAACACTACCTCCTTCCTTTTTTCAGCACGCTCGCTGCTCTTAAACACTGGTGCAGAAGCCAGAGTTGGCTTGAATTTTCTCGATGATGTCACATTCCTTCAGCCAGTAAAGGAAAATCAGAACAAGCTGTCAAAAAAAAAA